AGCTAGATACAGGGCATTCCTCACTCTGTCTCATAGCTAGATACATGACATTCCTCACTCTGTCACATACCTAGATACAGGGCATTCCTCACTCTGTCACATAGCTAGATACAGGGCATTCCTCACTCTGTCACATAGCTAGATACATGGCATTCCTCACTCTGTCACATAGCTAGATACATGGCATTTCTCACTCTGTCACATAGCTAGATACATGACATTTCTCACTCTGTCACATAGCTAGATACATGGCATTTCTCACTCTGTCACATAGCTAGATACATGGCATTTCTCACGCTGTCACATAGCTACATACAGGGCATTTCTCACTCTGTCTCATAGCTAGATACATGGCATTTCTCACTCTGTCACATAGCAAGATACATGGCATTCCTCACTCTGTCACATAGCTACATACAGGGCATTCCTTACTCTGTCACATAGCTATATACAGGGCATTCCTCACTCTGTCACATAGCTAGATACAGGGCATTCATCACTCTGTCACATAGCTACATACAGGGCATTCATCGCTCTGTCACATAGCTAGATACAGGGCATTCATCACTCTGTCACATAGCTAGATACAGGGCATTCCTCACTCTGTCACATAGCTAGATACAGGGCATTTCTCACTCTGTCTCATAGCTAGATACATGACATTTCTCACTCTGTCACATAGCTAGATACATGACATTTCTCACTCTGTCACATAGCTAGATACATGACATTTCTCACTCTGTCACATAGCTAGATACATGGCATTTCTCACTCTGTCACATAGCTACATTCAGGGCATTTCTCACTCTGTCTCATAGCTAGATACATGGCATTTCTCACTCTGTCACATAGCTAGATACAGGGCATTCCTCACTCTGTCACATAGCTAGATACATGACATTTCTCACTCTGTCTCATAGCCACGTACATGACATTTCTCACTCTGTCTCATAGCTAGATACATGACATTTCTCACTCTGTCACATAGCTAGATACATGACATTTCTCACTCTGTCACATAGCTAGATACATGACATTTCTCACTAGGAATATTTTGTTGGTGTTAGATATTATTGTATAATAATGTGTCTTTGGGATTGAAAATATTCTTAATACAAGTTTGTCATTGTTGTTTTGTTATTTAAATGTTTTACTTCATTTCTAATTTCTAAACCAATTTGTATTGTTTCAAATTGCGGAATGCAAAATAAATGTAAGATTCTATATCATATTTCAGCCTCAAGCAGACACGTTGGAGAAGTATACTTTACACTTACAGAGGGTGGTAGTGAAGCTACTCTCTAAATACAGAAAGGTAAGTTGACATGTTGGAGAAGTATACTTTACACTTACAGAGGGTGGTAGTGAAGCTACTCTCTAAATACAGAAAGGTAAGTTGACATGTTGGAGAAGTATACTTTACACTTACAGAGGGTGGTAGTGATACTTACCTTTTTGACTGATATTTACGACACCTTGTTTATGTTTAGTAACATTATGGGAGTTATTTCCTTTCTATGATTTATGTTATAAATATTGTATAAAGAACTACTACTTACTCCCTGACCAATATATATATAACGTGGTACACATGATCAGTACTGTTATAAAACTGGAATCAATGTTACAGTATTTCCTGTTAAGGAGCGACGGTGGCTTACTGGTCTATAGTTAATTTGTACAAACATGCTAGCTATGTTTCTAGTTAATTAGGGGTTAAATCAATATCTGTGAGGGGACATGAATTTATCTTTACATCGTTGTTTTTTTTGTAGGGGGTAATGGATGAACAAGTCCACCTTAAGCGTCTGGCTGACATTGCTATTGATCTGTTTGGCATGACTGCATGTATCGCCCGCACCTCCAGGTCATACAGTATCGGACTGAAAAACGCAGACCACGAGGTAACCAGATAATCAGTGATTTTTCTTGCATGGATATTTGAGTGTTGGACATGGTTTTCCTGTGGGACTCGACCAGATTTTGATAATTCACTATGTTCCTTAGTTTTGGAACTCTTAAAAATCTTAAAAGTGATGTTCAGGACTCACTTGAAAACTACAACGTACACCAAGTTTACCTGATTGTCATAAATGAAATGGATGTTTTCTTGATGTTTGTTTCGATGCTTCCTGAAGATAATTAGGTCCTATTGGATAGTGTCTTGTTTATTTCTGAACCACCACCAAACTCAAAAATATATAAACCACCAAATCATAAATTTGAGTGTCTGTTCCAGAATCCCCCCCCCCCCCATGAAAATAATAGTACAGATAACTCATTCACCCCTGAAGACACATATGAACTCTTCCAATTCAATGGTTGGAATAGTTCATTATGAAATTCAGGGGTGAATGAGTTCAGGCCCATTTAGTGCCCCTATTTGTAGTTGTAATTATCCTTTAAATGTGAAAAAGTGAGAAATTGTGAGTACTTTTGTGTAGGTTGAAATTTGTTGTTCTGAATTTCAAGGACTAGAAGAGTATTTCAGTGATTGCCAAGTCAAATAGAAAATCAGTCATGTGACACTTTCTTCTGTACTGGTGGTTTTGAAAATATTGACAATACATTTATATATCATTGATAATGATCTGAGTTTCTTAACAGGTCGATTGTTTCGCTCATTTAATGATTTGTGTTCATTAAACAAAGTAATGAGATAAACTCGGCCTGAATCTTAGATCTGTCATTATCAATCTATTGGTGCCTGAGTTTACAATTGTGCTATTTTTTGTAGGTAATGTTGACTAAAGCATTTTGCCATGAAGCCAAGGAAAGGATTGAGAAAAATCTGAAAGACTTGAAATTAGGTAATTATGTCTAAGTGGCTACTTAAATTGTGGTCCACACTCTCATTCACCTTAAAATGTGGTCCACACTCTCATTCACCATAAAATGTGGTCCACATTCTCATTCACCTCAAAATGTGGTCCACACTCTCATTCACCTTAAAATGTGGTCAACACTCTCATTCACCTTAAAATGTGGTCCACACTCACATTCACCTGAAAATGTGGTCCACACTATCATTCACCTTAAAATGTGGTCCACACTCTCATTCAACTTAAAATGTGGTCCACACTCTCATTCACCTCAAAATGTGGTCCACACTCTCATTCACCTTAAAATGTGATCCACACTCTCATTCACCATAAAATGTGGTCCACATTCTCATTCACCTCAAAATGTGGTCCACACTCTCATTCACCTTAAAATGTGGTCCACCCTCTCATTCACCATAAAATGTGGTCCACACTCACATTCACCTGAAAATGTGGTCCACACTATCATTCACCTTAAAATGTGGTCCACACTCTCCTTCACCTTAAAATGTGGTCCACACTCTCATTCACCTTAAAATGTGGTCCACACTCACATTCACCTTAAAATGTGGTCCACACTCACATTCACCTGAAAATGTGGTCCACACTATCATTCACCTTAAAATGTGGTCCACACTCTCATTCACCTTAAAATGTGGTCCACACTCTCATTCACCATAAAATGTGGTCTACACTCTCATTCACCTTAAGATGTGGTCCACACTATCATTCACCTTAAAATGTGGTCCACACTCTCATTCACCTCAAAATATGTTTACACCATTTGGAGTTGGTGTTGAAGCTGTCCCTATATTCTTTTAAAAAATAATTTTTAGGAATTCTATTCCAAATATGTAGGAGGACCCTGTTTATATCTGGAGACGACACTGTTTATGAAATACTCGGTACAAACACTGAACATCAATTAAAACAATACTAACCTGTGTATGGTCCGACTTCATAAAATTCTATTGATTTATATAAAAGTAATCGTCAACAGGATCGACTAGTATATATATTCCAAACATGACAACAGATCCTGTGAACCGAAGAATTCTCTTTTTCTTACTCTATAAGACATCAAGGTTTAATTTTTTCCTAATAGTAAACCTTTAATATTTTCCTAATAGTAAACCTTTAATATTTTCCTAATAGCAAACCTTTAAAATTTTCCTAATAGTAAACCTTTAATATTTTCCTAATAGTAAACCTTTAAAATTTTCCTCATAAATTATATAGTATCCATATGATGTAACAATATTGAAAAATAAAAGTCAATTTGTAATATTTTGTTACATTTCCTTCTAGAAACATGTGACAACAATGATGATACCCTAGAAAATATAGCAGATACCGTCTTCAAGAACCATGGTTACGCCGCAGCTCATCCACTGGAGAGAAATTGGTGAGGACTATCTACGCTGGGTGTAGAAATCTAGCTACTTACAGAGGTGGTGAATGACAAATAGACTCAATGATACCAAAACTGTTTGTGAACTGGTAGAGGCTAAACAGGATTTGTGAAGGTTTCTGCACTAGTTAGGCAGAACAAAGGACACTGCAACAATTAGGATGAACAAAGAAAACTGCAACAGTTAGGCAGAACAATATTGTACATTGTGTTTGTGAGGACATTACAACAGTTAGGCTGAACAAGATTACATCATATTGTGAGGACACTACATCAGTTAGGCTGAACAAGATTACATCATGTTGTGTAGACAGTACAACAGTTAGGCTGAACAAGATTACATCATATTGTGAGGACAGTACATCAGTTAGGCTGAACAAGATTACATCATGTTGTGAGGACACTACATCAGTTAGGCTGTAGCAGAACAGTATTAACTAAACTGTTTGTTGTCCCTATTGAAGTGGCAAGGCATGATAATGGTTTCTTCAACATTTTTATACTGAATCCTTTAAATTATGTTCACTGCTTAATCATCACAGCAATACATTGTAAAGTGATATTGATTAGGTAATATATATGCATCAGCGACCGATACCTTGAACTCAGCATTAACTACTCAAAATCATACAGCTATGTAGATCAGTCGTCCTGTTCCCAAACATAGGGAGTATTGTACTCAATTGTTTTTGCAACGCTGGGCATTAATGCCATTTTTCAATCTGATCAGAAGCATATTGCTTTTAATTAAAACTAAACATGATAAATTACTGCAGTTATTTGATCTGTATTAAAACTTCGATTTTGTGTGTAACTAGTCTTTCAATTATTGAAAAGATTGCTATAAAATTTTGGTCTCTGTTATCAGAAGCAAATTATTACAGGACAAATCTAAATATACTACAATTTTCCTGTCAATGACACTGGCTAAGCAGTTGTAACTCAGTCAAGATTATTGTCATTAGAACAATTTTTTTTTTCATATGTTGCCACTTGTGATTTACCATAAAGATTTGATTGTGGGATCTGATTTGATATACCTCACAGAGGTGGTGGTTATAACCGACGTTACAGTGAATGGACAGATGTGTTTGTGATATATTTTTGTTTTCAGTAAAATCATTTATATAAAAATGTGTTGTTGAGTTGATGTATAATTTATAAGACGTGGAGGCACGGTAGTCTAGTGGTAGGACGCCAGCCTCGTGACTGAAGGGTTGCAGGTTCGAGTCACATCACAGCACTGTGTTGTATCTTGTTCTAGTCTACTCAGCTGTAAATGAATACGTGGTTGGGCAGTGACAAAATTGTTGAATGCTAGATGTGAGCGCCGAAATGGCAGCACCGGCTGTATGCTCCCCAGAGAATTGAGAAAGATATTGGCTAGTTGCAAAGGCCTTATAGTCACGGATAATAATTTGTGAACTGCTTTGAGACGACCGACGTTGTGATAAAAATGTATACGAGAACCTCGAATTATTAATATAATCATTATTAACAGAAAATACAAATGTTTACCCTGCTTTTCCATATATTACCACTCTTGTGGTACCACCGACACAG